CAGAAAAAAAAAAAAAAAAAAAAAAAAAAAAAAGGAAAGAAAAATATGTCAGACAGACCAAGAAATGAGTCCATGGGATCATTTTCTGAACAAAAGAGCTGGCAGAGCCAGGAGTAGGTTAAGAAGAGGCTGCTTGGCAGTACTGAGCCACTGAAGAACACAGAACGAAGTCCTCATCAGAGAAAGGACACAAGGATGGGGTGCAGGTTAGGAAAGGGCCAGCTTTCCAACTCACTCATCTGCCAATAGGCTTTAGCGTGGTCTTGTCCACTGATGACACATCCCTGTTGTGCAGAATGTTGCTTGTGTCCAAGCCCAGAAAAATCCAAATCGGATGGTGTACCCAGTGTTCAAGAACTACTTAATGACAGGAAGAATATTGCAAAGGGAGCAGCGGAGAGGTACAGGGACACAAGGAGAGGGCAAAAATGTAGGGGCAGCCAAAAGCTGGAGGTCACAGAAGAAATGACATCAGCAAAGTTTAATGTACAGTGAAGAAAAGACAGAAATTAGATGTGACCAGTGACATTTGCAACACAACACCAGTGGACACAGGACAGATTCCTGGCATGATGTAAACGCAGCCCTGTTTTCATGCCCTTGACTAGTTGCCACTCTCCAGACCAGGTCTCCTCTAAGACCATCTTACCATGTCCACAATGTGAAGCAACGAGGCCTCTGGCTGCAACCCCAGTTCTACAACTAATGGGACCTGCATGATGTAAGTCCTAATGGAAAGACAGGACAGGTGAATTATCAGCATTGACCCAGGGTAAGTCACCACACAAGAGACCACAGGAAAGGAAAACAATATAGCAAAAAATCCTAGGAGGGGGTGCCCAAAGTCAGCCCATGGTCCATGAATTTTACCAACCATGACAACACCTAAAACAATTGGCACAGGCACATTTGAGAAAATGCCAGCCCTAAGGAAGAGGGCAGAAACAGGCACAGAAATGTCATAGGTCTGCACACGATTGTCCCAACAGGAGGAGGCCAAGTATGGTGAGATCCATCAGGCTGACTGCAAGATTCCCAAACCCTTTCCTGAATGCACTGGAATGGGAGGCATTAGGGCTGCTGGGGGACTGTATTGCTCAGGGCGGTGCACAAAATTCATTGCTGGTAACCACAGCACACCTGCCAAGGAAGTGGAAGTGGGGGGAGGTAGCAGAGCCCACAGTCCAGGTGTGGGAAGCACAGAGGGGAAAAGAAGAAAGGCAGAGATTAAGACAAAAGGGAGGGTGGCAGGATATGAGGGCATTACCCAGCAAGGCTATCAGTGCAAAGATCTCCAGGATCACATCCATGTAGAGGAATCTATGAGCCTTACCAAGGAGCCCCCACTCCTCCTGGGAGAAGTAAATCGCCACGTCCTCAAAGGTCATACAGTCCTGTCACGAAGGGAACAGTTTATTCCATGATCAGCTTCTCTGCATGGACCCCATGTTCATGCCTCCCTCCCCACATCCAACCCCTGCTCATCTTCCTCCAGTCAATGGAGATATCGAGCCCTGCTGCTGCTGAGGCCCACTCTGTCCTCATGGTTCCATTGACCACTGTGTCAGTCCACAGCGACAACAGGCAGGTGGGTAGACTGACAGCTAGTCTGTAGGCCTGGTGTGCAGAGCCACACTCCCTCTTTTCAGACAATTCCCCTGAAGTCCCCCAGATGGTGCCTTCTAGACACAACCATTCATGGGCTTACCCTTCCCCCATATGTCCTCAGTACCAGGGCCCTAAGGCCATCAGGTCACACTCCTTCTCCATGTGCCCATCACTGTTTCTACCAAATCTCTCTCCCAGGTGAACTACCACAGCCACAGCTCCCTCCCTGCCCCACAGCACAAGAATCTCCTTGGCCTCCCTACACCTTGTTCAGCAAATGGGGTTCAGAGAGGGCTTGGGAGATTCAAACAGGATCCAGTATATCCCAGACTTTCAAAGAACCCCACTGCCAGAGGCAGCCTCCAATCCTGCTATGAAGGCCTCTCTACCCGACTCAGCTCAGCTACTGGAACCACGTCCAGATCTCAAAGACCCATGGCTCCCTTCTACTTCTGGGCTGTACTTCCTGTCCCATCAACAGTCACACCCTATCTCCATCTAACAATTCTCTGGGGCCCCTCACCCCAGGCCAATCATTGACATTGAAGACAGTTGTTTATACTCACACATCCCAAGAGGAGGGGGCACACCACCCAATACAGGGCCACACAGAGAAAGACAAGAGACAGTCAAGAGACAGAGGAAGAGAGGTGAAAATGTGAGCAAAACCCTTTACTGTGGTTTCCACCAACAGACATGGGAAAGGCAGGGTATGCTGGGTTAGGATGACAAGTTTAAGTAACACGGCATTGCTGGGGGCATAAGGTCTGCTCCTGACTGGTACTTGGCCCTGGGGGATTAGAGCAGGTGGATAGTGGTGCAGGGTGTGAGTTGTGAGAGCCTGATGAGATAGGCGATTCGGGTATGGGCCCTGGACTAGCACTTCCGCATATGGAACGTGACTCGCAGGCCGGTCAGTCATCCACAGTGTCTAGGAGTTAGCTCGCCCTGGGCGGGGCAGTCCCTCCAGAGAATGCAAGCGGCCAGATGTCTAAGTTTGGATGTCAAAGTATCCGAAATATAGAATAAAAAGACATGCTTAACACAGCCTGGAGGACACAACCTTTAACTCAGTCGGGTCTCTCTGGGGCCGAGAGGGGCAGGAGAGCGAGGCGGGGTGGCCCCTACCCCAGCCCTAGTGCGGGTCACCCTGGGCAGTGTCACTGAGCTTGCGGTCTGCCTCTCTGTGACAGAGACAACGAATCTCCCGGCGCCTTCTCTGTCCATCACCCCAGCCCAGACTCAGTGCTCGAGGGCCTGTGACTCACTTAAGGAGATTCAAAGTGACCGCCATGAAGAGGACGCCCGAAGTCCCACCCCCATGTGATGCGCACGCAGCGGATGCCCGAATCCTGAGCTTTCGTTGGTTGAGTGTCGCTGCCTGTGGGCGCAGCGCATCCTGGGGATTGTAGCTCTTCCAGCTCCACAAGCTGCGGAAAAGAATTCCCTCAACCTGGCCTCCCAGAACAGAGGACAAGTGGCAGAGAAACTGGAAAAGGGCCTTTCCACCAACAGGCACATGAAAAAATGTTCAACATCCCTCATCATCAGGGAAATGCAAGTTAAAACTACAGTGAGATATCATCTTCCTTCAGTTAGACTAGCTATTGTCAGAAAGACAGAAAATTACAAATGCTGGATTTGATGTGGTGAAAAGGGAACTCTCATACATTCTTGGAGGTAATGTAAACTAATACAGCCAATATAGGAACAGTATGGAGGATCCTCAAAAACTAAAAATAGAACTACCTTATGACTCAGCTATCCTACTTCTGGGTATATACCTAAAAGAAATGAAATCAG